GTCATGAGATAAGTTAGAAAACCAATGCAATAATAGTCTTGGTGAGAGATACTGAATGCATGAACTAAAGTAGAAATCATGAGAATAAGAGGATAGAATTAAAATGTCAAGGGATAGAATTGATAGGATATTACCATTTAAATACAGAGAATGATGAAAAATATACTCATATTTCTAGATTGGTCAATTGGACAGACAAGATAACATTCATTAATATAATATATTTTTCTAGAAATAATGTAGGGGGTGAAAAAGGAAAACAAAATATATTTATTAACACACATGGGAGATTAGTTTGCAGAGTAAGGTGGAAATGTTGGGTCAGGTTGTGTTTGAAATGACCATGAGATACCAAGTTAACTCTAGGCTAGATAGTGAATAGAGATAGTATATTTACATCTGAAGCTCCAAAGAAATATCTGGAGTCATTTAATGGCATCTAAATGACACAGGAACATAAGAGAAAACCCAGATACAGTATGGTCAAGTTCCATCTTTGGAAAATAACAAAATTTAACAACTTGGAAGAGAAAATAAAGCCAACAAAGGAGAGTTGTGAGAAGTGGGAGAAACCCAGGAGAAAGCAGTGTCTGGAAACCAAGAAAACAAACTTTAAGGAAAAGAAATCACTGTATAAGTCAGGGTTCTCCAGAAAGACAGAACCAATAGGAGATAGTTGACAGATAGATAGGTATATAAATAGACAGAGAGACAGAGAGACAGACGGATGGATAGATAGATAGATAGATAGATAGATAGATAGATAGATACATTAGATAGTAAGAGGCAATTTATTAAGGAAATTGGCTAATGCGATTAACAAGGGTGAGAAGTCTTGCAACAGGGCATCTGTAAGCTGAAGGCCCTGGAATGCTGGTAGTGTGGTTCAGTCCAAGTCCAAAAGCCTCATCATCAGGGAAGCCAACTGTGTAATTCTTAGTCTGAGGATGAAGGCCTGAGAAGCTGAGGGACTACTGATCTAAGTCCTAGAGTCCAAAGGCCAGAGATCCTGGAGTTCTGATGTTCAAGGACAGGAAAAGACTGTCCAAGTTCCAGAAGAGTGAACTTGGACAGTGCCTTTTTTTTTCTCTTGGGCCCCCAGTCAATTGGATGGTGCCTACTCACATTGAGGGCAGATCTTCTCCACTCAGTCCACACACCTGTCTCCTCTAGGAACACCCTCAGAGACATATCCAGAAGTAATGCTTTACCATTTCTTTGTATATTCCTTAGTCCAGTCAAGTTGACACCTAAAATTAATCAGCACACCCAGGATGATCAATAGAACGAAATTCTACAAAGAAAACAAGCAAGATGAGAACCAAAATATTGGAATTTATGATTAGGATGTGTATTTCATTACAGCAAATTCAGTGGCCTACAGGGGACTGATGACTAATTGTCCAGAAAGAATAGGGTGCCATAATTATATGAAGGCATAAGCCTTGGAAAGAAGAGACCTGAATCCCTCAAGAAGAGAAAATGAAGTGAGCATGGATAAAGACAGGTTTACAAGTATGAACAGGTTTACAAGAATTCTCTCAAAAATGAGAGAATTCACAGATAGCTTCAATTATTTTAGAGAGATAGGAGGCAATTCATTGGATGAGACTTGGAGAGCTGGGGTACTGAGGTGGGGATTTAGAAGGAATAGTAAATATCTGGAGATAGCTGTTTTGGGAAATGGGGAGAGAATCAAGGACACTTTGGAATATAGAGCAATTTAGATAAAGTATAAAGCTACATGTTTGTAAAGAGCTGATCAACACAGAATTTTTTCAACTCTCAGTTATCTTGGTAAGAAAGGGAGAAGCCATGGCTATATTGATCTAAGATTGCTGATTTGAAAAGCAGATAGATGGAATGATGATTAACCAATCTAGCAAACCAAGGATTCCCTATCTAATACATTCAAAATGAATTTATCATCTTCTGCCACACACATTTCTTCTAAATCCTGCATTTCCTGTCTCAGTGAATGGCTCTACAGCCTCTCAGTAATAGAGTCATTCTTGACCCCAATATCTCTCTCTCATCCCTTTACATTCAGTCCTATCTATTACATTTTTTTTTTTTTTTACTAATACATCTATACTCTGACTTCTTTGTACCTTTGCACAGGTAGCTCCTTCTATAGTGTATTATCCCACCCTCTTTTTCACATAATTCTCACTCATCCTTTATAACCTAGTTCATATATCACTCCCTCCTGAAAACCTTCACTCATAATCCCTTTCCCTCTAATCTGGATTAGGGACTCTTCAAAGCAGAGCATTTTGGTCATACCTCTTTCAAAGCACTTAAAATTTTACAGTTATTAATTATTCTCCCCACTCTGCCCACAAGACTAAATTCTTTTAAGGCAAGATTTTGTCTTTTATTTCAAGCAACCAGTACTTAGCACAGAATTGTTTGTTGAATTAATGAATAATTATAAAATGTAGCACTAAATGGCAAAATAAAAGGTTAATAACACTTAAGAGTAACTCCACTATTGTTTAAAATGGCAGGAAGTGATTCAAAAAGGAGGACATCAGTGATGTAAAAGAAATGATATTCAGTGACAATTGTCATGATTAAATCAATGTCTCTACTAGTCATAGGTACACTATAACATTTGCACAGAAACATAGCCCAAACTGTATTTCAGAATGCTACAAGTACACCTTCATTCTGGCAGTGGCCACAAGCCACCCAATTAAAAGAATGACATCACCTTTAGCTATCATAGTACTAGCTACCATATGAGTAAGAAACAGCAAGATGAGAAAATGCCCCTTAGTCTTTGGAGCAGTCCCACACATTTTGTGAGGTAAGCACATAACACACTTGTTTCATAGTAATAAATTTAGCAACTTCTGTAACTTAAAACTAATGTTAGTATATTCGTGTTTAAAGAAATAAAACTGTTTCAGAATCTTAGTCCAAAAGATCACCCATTATTTTGTTATGAAGGAAAACATTCAAAAAGCAAAGAAATTCAGATGCCAGCTAGGAGAGTTCACATGATAACAGTACTGGCACTCAAATAAGTAATGAATGCTCCAAGTCCTCCCATGTTTAGCATGTGACTCCAATTCTACCAACCTTCCTCTTAGAATAATGTTGAAGCCTATGTATTCCATGTGAATGTCTATGTAAGTTGTTCCCTAAGTAGTTGATACAGATTCTTCTTCATATTAATACACTGTCTTGTGATATTTTAACAAATCACAGAGTAGTCAGACATTCAATACTTCTTTATTAGTAGTAAAAATATTGCCATTGTAGGAAAATAATTAACCAACCAATTCCCTTGAGCAAAATCCTTAACCTCTCTTAACAGTTTCTGATTTGTAAAATTACAATAATAATCCCTGTATTATATGACTGCTGTAAAGATTAGCTAGTGTATATGTATATATAAACCAACTATCACTCTGATTAGCACACAGTCTGTTAATCACAAGAGGTCTCTGCTGGGCCAGGCTCGGTAGCTCATGCCTGTAATCCCAGCACTTTGGGAGGCCAAGGCGGGTAGATCACCTGAGGTCAGGAGTTCGAGATCAGCCTGGCCAACATGGTGAAACCCCACCTATCTTTTGAGAATTGTCTGTAAAGAAGTTTTTCTTACAGAGCTATATTTAGTTAAAATCAGATCTAGCAGAGATAGAGATATTTTGTTATATATATTCTACTTTTCAATTATTTCCCCACAAACCATTCTTGGGATTTTTCAACTTTCAATGTAGATAAGGTATTTATATCCTACTAAGGATCACACAAATTAAAATATGAATATTATATCAAACCTCTTATTTTCAATAATAAAAATTGAATTGTCTAAGAATTCTAGTTTAACTTACTTTGCTTAATTTATAATTCATATAGATGAGGATAACAATAATTTTTAAATTATAATTTTATTATCAAAATAGATGCTATGCAGAAAAGAGTTAACACAGCAGGCCCAAGACTTCTATCCTTACAAAGCCCTGCTTGCAAGGTTGGCCCTTAGCTGGCAACTAGAAATTTAGATTTGGGGAGAATTCTCATCATTCCCTAACTGGTAAAAGTGGCTTATTATGTATAAATTATTTGTGTAAACAGTATGGTTTATGCTAGACACAAACTCCATTCAAACAGGAATTTGGAATTTTGGTGTGTGCTAGGTAGTAAGTGCCAATGGAACCAGCTCCAGTAGAAACTTTGGGCACTGAGTTTCTAATGAACCTCCTGGTAGACAACATGGTACATTCGTGGTAATAATTCACTGCTGGGGTACTTCACTGGGAGGAGCCCCTTGGAATCTTGTCCTTAGTTTCTTCCAGACTTTGCTCCATGTGACTTTTCCCCTTGCTGATTCTGCTTTGCATACTTTTGCTGTGATAAATTATATCTGTAAGTACAACTATATATTAATTTCTATGAGTCCCCGTATAAAATAAAGGAACCTTGGTGTAGTCTTGGGACCCCCAACACAGATGCCATAAAATGTCTTTAATCAAAATATCTTCAATTATTTTCCATTTTATATTGTCATGTTATTTTCATTAGGTACATCATTTAGGAATAGAGAAAAATAGGCTAAATAGTTAAGATAGACAATTATATAAATGTTGCCATCAGTAATAATATTATTAGGCAGGAGATGAAAAAGGCCAGAACAATTTTAATTTTCTCCTAGATTGTAGCCCATTTTATAAATGTAAATTTTATATTATTTGCAATAGATTATAATCTTTTAACCAAGTTACTGATAATCTTAGCAATTTTACTTTTGTATACTAGAAATTGATTTCCCTTTGGAGAATGATACTTAAGCCTAATCATTTTAATTTCATAATGGGATATATTTGTTTTAGGATGTCTTCTTTTTAGTCTTACAAAGCATAAATATATTGGCATGCATTCACTTCACAGCATGTCTTCAAATCAGAATCTACTTAAGTGAAAATTCTGAACTCTTCAAATTTTTCTCAAGTACTTCTCAATAGTATTTCCAATGGTAGGGAACTTACATTTTTTTGCAGTGTGGGCATTTTGCCAGAGTGTTGAACCTCAGTTCCATCCACTGTAAAATAAATAAAGAGAGGAATTGAAAAGAAAAACAACTGAAAACTATCCAATCTGATAAGACATTTCTGTTCCTTAAAATGTCATCAGGGATCACAACAGAAGCAATCACCTTCTCATGGTTACATGAGCTTTTCCCTCCAACACTTCTCTCCCTCTCTTAAAATATAGTTTAGGATCTTCCTCTGAAACAGTTCCCATGACTTTTCCAATGCTTTGACGCAATCTAGGTTTGCTTTACATGAATACTGAATGTAATACCGTAATTGGGGTCATCTTGTTCAGTAAGTCTCAGTTCACTAACAGGGAATAAAAACATATTTCATATATCATCAAAGTTATTTTTCCTTTAAGTATTGAAGGCTGGCCTTTCAAATACCTGAATATTTAGATTCATTACTAAAATTAAACTATTTATTTTACACAAGAAAGCCACCAAGTATGTAAACTAAACAAATTAGATATAGGTAGAACTAAAGTCAGGAACTGTTTCTTGTTGTCATTCCTTATACAATATAACAAAAACACACTGTTTAGTACAGTTTTCTTCCCTGTAAATGTAAGTAATAAATGTGCCACCTTCCTCATAGGAGTGTTATTCAGATAGCTGAAATGACTTACTGGTCGTAGATAGTTTTTGAAAGAATATGAAATATAAATTTAAAGTAAACCTTTATCCCATGAAATATATTTTGTTGACTTTATAACAATCTTCTTCTATCTTGTTTGCTTTTCTATATACCTCCTTATAAAGGGTATATTTCCTTGATAGATTTGGGGACATTTATTTAAGTACTTTGGCAGTTTGTCATCAAAACAACTTGTTTTTATTAAAATTGTTTCATTTGGGAATCTAGGCCATTAATTTTTCTCTTCAGAAAGCTCAAATTCTAGTTACAGTAGGGTTTCAACTTGTGCATATTCAAATGTTTTCCACACAATAGAAGATAGCTTTTAGAAAATATCTGATGCATATTTTTTCTTTTATGATTAGATATCAGAAAAGAACATATGAATTTAAATTTCATAGACTCCTTTCTCCTCATTTTTATTTCAAATCTCATGAAATTTAGTTAACCTTGTTATGATCTCTCTCAGTCACAACAGGAACATAGAGTCCCAAGATAAATAACAAATAAAAAAGAAAGAAAATTTCACATGAATGTTCACTCTCTTTACAAACTGATTATTTTTTAACAGCTACAAATGTCAAACCAAGGGCACTTATTTTTCAAACAAGAGCAAATATTTCTTTCCTTACTTACAATGAGAAAGTTACTTATTGTAACAAGTTGATTTATTTTAAAATTGCTCTTAAGGTAAAAATTTTTGAGTTAATGTGCTAAGGCAGATATTAATATAGATTTCTACAGAAATAATACAGAACATTAAGCAGTGGAAGAATATAGAACTATTATGAAGTGCTTTTTTATGTTTCTGTAATAGGCTTAGGATAGTTAGTGAACTTCTAATGTCATTTCAAATGTTATTTATAAATAATAAATTTAAGTTTTTCATAGTTAAAAGAGCAAACTGGTTTGAGAAGGCAATTGTGAAACCTTTGAGTCAAGAGTAACTCAAAATCCAAGACTTAAGGCTAACAGACTGACATAGGAATTCCAGTATTTTAGATGGCCCCTAAGGAGACTGTTTAGTCCAGTGTTATCATTTTATAGTGTTCTTCATTTTAGCACAAATTATGCATGATAAATCAATAACTAACAAACAGTGGAGACTTTATTCTGCAGTTCATATATTACATTGCCAGCAATCTACCATATCTTTTGTTGTTGTTGTTGTTATCTGCAAGTATTTATTTAAATGGAGCAAACTAAGAAATAAAAGCATCTATTTTTAGAGTAAGGTTCTTAGAATCTATTCAAATGAATACCAATACCTATTCTTCGGAAAATAAGTTGAGTTAGTACTGTTTTCTCATCTAAAATCTGCCTCTGGATTCTTAAAATTTTATTGCCAGACCTTAAAGTCTCATTAGACAAAAAAATAAATAAATAAATAAAATCCCTTATTTCTGTCAGAAAGAGTAAAAGCAACTTCTCTAAACTCCAATCATTTTTAGTAAAGATCTTCTAATATCTGACTTATTTCTAACTATTCTGTAACATGTAACGGATAAATTTAGTTTCCCCAAGATATATTTTGCAACTAATCTTAGAAGACTTGTAAAAAAATAAAAAAAAAACTGTATTTCCTAAAACTAATATAGTACCTTACTGAAATATGTAGATAGATAGGTATAGGCAACTGGTAACACTTTGAAATATGTTCAAGTTAAAACTATTGTCCCTTTCTGCTATGGCACCCATTTGTCCTTGTATACAGATGAAAAAAATCTGACCCTGCCTGAAGTTACTAAATTGGCCCACTTCAGGACAAAGTTTGAACGAAGTTGTGTTGGCTTTTATTGAAGAACAACAGCCCTCAGTTAGTGTTGATTGACAAAGTATCTGGATATGCCTTTCATCATCAACAGAGACCATGGGCCATTCAGAAATGTAATAATAAACTCTGCTGTTCAGTTGTGTTAAGAAATTTCTTTGCATTCATGGAGAACAAGCTGCAGGATTTATAGTCATTTCATTCTTCTGGGAAATTATTTTTAAACAATGCCCTTCAAATCACTACTTAGGCTAGATGATCTTAAAATGGTTTGGAGGATAAAAAATGTTTGGACATACAACATAAAAACTCCGTCTTAAATATATACAATGGTATATGCTAAAATTGTTAAATAATATCCTATTTTAAATTCTGTTTAATTTTTTTAATTTTAGTGATTCCCAATGAACATGGAACTCTTTACTCACAATCACCTACTATTAACCTACAAAATGAATGTGCCATTGAATACATCTTGGAAAACGCAAATCTCGCTTTTCTAAATTCATCCATAGTCCCAACTAGGCTGTGAAATGAATAATGTAAATATTGTGAATTCCTAGAAAATTTAACTTTAGCATTATAACATTGATATATTGAAAGATGTTATTATAAACAAAAGGATGCTGTGAGAATATAGAGAACTTAGTCTCTAGCTTGCATATTACTTTAGCAATTTTTTTAATTTGTTTTTTTGAGATGGAGTCTCGCTGTGTTGCCAGGCTGGGATACAGTGGTGCAATCTTGGCTCAATGCAACCTCCATCTCCTGGGTTCAAGCAATTCTTTAGCTGGGACTACAGGCACACACGACCATGCCCAGCTAATTTTTTGTATTTTTAGTAGAGACATGGTTTCACCATGTTGGCGAGGATGGTCTCCCTCTTGACCTTGTGATTTACCTGCCTCAGCCTCACAAAGTGCTGGGATTACAGGTGTGAGGCACCATGCCTGGCCTACTTTAGCATTTTTTTTTCTCAGGTTAAAATATCAAAATTAAATTATTTTTAAGTACAAGTTTTCTTTTTTTATATGATAAAAGCCTTGTCACATGCAATAGTTCTTTTATTTTAATCCTTGGGAGAATTCTTTCTCAAGAGAGAGCTCATTATTTCAGGATAAGTATTTCCTATGTGATCTTTTCAATAAAATATCTTGAATGTTTTGTCACAGATCATATTTTCCTCTTTTCTTTGACTCTGGATAACTCAGAGCTAAGATTCAGCCTAATTTTATCAACTGTATTAGACTAAATATTAGCATACTTATGTTTGACTTCAGGTTATTTTTTCTGCCCTACTTATTATTTTTCCTGATTTTTTTCACATTTGATTTTCAAACCTATTGAACTTAATGCATCTTTGTAACTTATCTCAATTGCTTTGAGCCTTGTAAGCGAAGGCTAAAACAAAGTAGGAAATAAGTAAATGAATTAATCTAGTAATTAACAGTTTGAAGGGCAAATAACATGTTATGAAGAAATCATCTCTAAATACTGTATTTTAATCCAAAACATCTTTTCGTGCTAAAGGATTAAAGTTTTAAATCATAATTACTGTGCTAATATGATAATATGATTCACTTGCCTGCACTGAAAGTTAGGTAAGGAAGAGCCAGCTTTAGAAGTTAGTCGTCTCTGGCTTGCACATTACTTTAGTAATTTTCTTTTGGGAGAAAAATAACTAAATGTATAAATTGTTTTTTAAAATAATAAAAACCATGGCACATACATATCTATCTAAACTCTCAATTTAGATCATTGTCTAGAATTCATTGCCAGATGATTCTAGAAATTAAATATAAACCTTTATAACAATTGTCTTTTTGATTGCTCTTTTTTCCTCATTCCCTTTTCTACCTTATTAGTACAGTCAATTTTCTCCCAAATTCTTTATGCTATTCTTGACCATCATCATCACTTTGCTGAAAAATAAAAGCCAAAATTGTAGCCTTGTGCTTTTTCAGGCTTGTCCGTTTGCTGTCCATTTCTCTATTAGGTTAGAAAATTTCATGAAGGCAGAGACTATGCTTCCTGTTCACCACTGTTTCCCAGCACCTACCTTAGTGCCTGGTATATATTCAATATATATTATTGAATAAATAAAATAATTTTATTTATAATATGGCTACAAGGATTATCCGTGGCAAGTATTTGGAATATAAAACAACAAGAAAGAATTCAAAGTAGCTGTGGAAGGGAGATCTCTGGAAGTAGGTTGAAACAAATCTATATAGAAGATTTTAAAATTGCTTTACTTTCAAAAATCTGTTCACATATGAAAAAGAAAATAACAAATATGCTTTATATATTTAATTTAGTTAATTCATGTAATATCTATTGGTAACTAGAGTGTGTTAGCTTATATTAAATAAAGATATACTGATTTTTATTTATTTATTTTAGAGACAGGGTTGCCGTCTATCACCCAGGCTGGAATGCAGTGGTATGAGCATAGTTTGCTGCAACCTCCAAACTCCTGACCTCAGATAATCCTCCCACCTCAACCTCTTGAGTAGCTAGGACTATAGGTGCTAATTTTTAAATTTTTTTGTGTGGAGGTGAATTCTCTCTGTGTTTCCCAGGCTAGTCTCAAACTAT